TACTATAAGGGGTACTAGAGGGTTTAGGGTTTAGGGTTTAGGGGTTACGAAAAAAGGGAGTTAGAGTTTTTTGGGATTAGGGTTATAGGGTTTAGGCTTTCAGGGTTAGGGTTATAGGGCCTAGGGGCCTGGGGGTTTAGGGTTTAGGGTTTTGGGTTTTGGGCTTTAGGGTTTTAGGGTTTGTGGAGGGGCCTAAATGAATGGGAGTTGGGTTCCTTTAAGGGTTGCTATAAGGGGTACTAGAGGGGTTAGGGTTTAGGGCTTGTGGACTTTAGGGGTGTCGGGGGTTCAGGGGTTTAGGGTTTAGGGTTACTGCAGTTTGGGGTCCTTAAGAGTTCCTCTCGAGTTTAAGGCCTCTCGTCGCAAGGCTTCAGGTTTAGGGTTTAGGGTTTAGGGTTTAGGGTTTAGGGGGCAGTTGGGGTTTATGGGGTTGAGGGTTTAGGGTTTTTGGGGTTTGGGGCTTCCTGGGTTTAGGGTTTATGGGTTTAGGGTCCGTGGGATTTAGGGCTTATGGGGTTTAGGGTTCATGGGCTGTAGGAAGGGGTTTAGGGTTTGAGATTCATCGGGTTTGGGGTTTTCGTAATCATGGCTCAGGGATCTTTACGTGCTCCTCTAAGCCTTCCTCTGATTAGGGTTTAGGGCTTAGTAGTGCGTTTAGGGGCACACCGCCAAGCCTCAAACCCCTAACCCCGAAACCCGTAAACCCCTAAACCCTAAACTCCTGACCTCTAAGCCCTAAACCAGGGTTTTGGTAGTGATCGGGGCCTTAAGGTTTAGATGATTAGGGCTTTTTCAGGATCTGGAGTTTCTGATCTATAGGGTTTAGCAATCAAGATTGTGGGTTCTGGATGTAGGAATCATAGGGTTTAGGATGGTTTTTAAGGCTCGGGTTTTAGGCATTAGGGTTCAGGATTTAGGGCTTCTGATTTGGGATTTAGAAACCAGGGTTTCGAGCTCCGGATTTTACTAGAGTCTAGGGCGCAAGTCGCTGTTGCACCACGCTTCGAGGTCTTTGTAGACGAAGTAGCGAATGTCTATACTTCGGTCGTTCCCCAGGTGCAGTTGCTTCGCGTCGGCGTTAGCGTTGATTCGATACACCGACCAGAATACTGAATCGACAGGTACCTTATTCGCGTACGTCGTGGGTCTCAAGGAAGCCGTTGCTTCAACTTCGCTGCATTCTCCAGTGCTCGTCGGAACTGGGTTTAGGGTTTATAGGACTTAGGAGGGGTTTAGGGTTCAGAGCTTAGACGTCTCCAAGGGCTCCGTTAAGGGTCCAGCCTTAGGGCTTAGGCTTCATAGGGTTTAGGCTCTAGGATGGGGTTTAGGGTTTGGGGGCTTATCGGGTTTAGGGTTTGGTAATCTAATCAAGGCTCAGGGTTCTTTTAAGGGCTCCTCGTTTAGGTTGAGGAACTGAGGATCTGGGATTGCGGGTTTAAGGGTTTGGGGTTTTTAGGGTTTAGGGTTTAGGGTTTAGGGTTTAGAGTTTAGGGTTAATTTAAGGTTCCGGATTTAGGAATCATAGGGTTTGGGGATCAAGGCTGGATTAGCAAAGGGCTTTACCAGGGTGGTGGTCTTCAGGGGGCAGGGTGTTGAGGGGTGCTACGAACGCCCAAAGCCAATCTTTTGCTAAAAAGGCCCACCCAACCTCAAGCCAACAACGTAACAAACCTCAAAAAACAAACGCTGTGATCAGTCCAAATACCTTCCAACCAGCCTCTAGCCACTGATGAATCCAAAAGACTCGCCTCAGCTGCGAACCACCTCACAACTCAAGGTTGACAACGGAACAGAACATCCTGCATGAAGAAGCAGGCCCGACATTAAGTAATTAAACTTTCAACTCCTAAATCCTGAAACCCCAAACCCTCCTGTACATTCTTTTGTAACGTTTATTTGTGTGACGAAAAATAACCATGACACTTCAGACAGAACCATAACACTTCCTAAAATATGGCCGGGAAAAGAAGAATATGGCCGATGCATGATAACATTGTCTTAAACCAGTCGATATACATGCCGGGCCTAACTCAAGCCCAGTATATGCTAGAACTTAGCCTCCAAAACGCCTGTACACTCTAACATAGATTGGGCTTGGGGCTCTGGGGTTTTCAAGCTCGAGCTTTGAGGATTGGGGCAAAGGGCATCACTTAGGGTTTATATAGGGTTTAGGGTTTGAGGTTGAGTTTCGGGTTTAGGGTCTAGGGTTAAGGGTTCAGGGTTCACATATACACACACAATGCACAGATTTTTCATCGTCGACCAGCACTTCCATCTTCGATCTGCGACCGGCGGCATAAGCCAGGGACTCAGGATCCAAACTGATTGAGCCACAGACGTCGATAGTGCGCAAGTGATTTCGTGATGGTTCGTTGAGGCGTCGTAGATGCATGGCAGCGTCGGCTGATGCGTGAAATACGACCCACGTAGTCCTCGTCACTCCACGTTGCATAGCCTGATAGTTCATCTGTTCGGTCATACATAAAGCAAAAACCACCCATTCACACCAAGAAGCACATCACATTGAGTACGAAAGCCGCACCGGAATCGTACTCCGCTTGCATCATGTAACTTAGGCCAGGTCTGAAGCTTGGGGTAAGATTTTGGGCTTTGGCTTCAGGGTATGGCGGGTATGGGTGACGGTTTAAGTGCTCTGTAGACCAGCTGTGAAAACCTTTCGACATAAGATAAGGCACATGAGCTCTGCTTGCATGTGCATCTTCGGACGAACTTTGAACAAAGTCCACTGCAGCTGGGCGCATCGTCTTGCTAGATGGGTGTAACCGGCCTGGTATTTATTTTAAGCTTGTAGGATCTGAACCCCCAATGCTACCCCCAATAGCCCAAGTAATCAAAAGCTCAAAGCTCCCAACCAAGGCCGGGTGCCAACATTGCCCAACCACTCTCGATGGCCACAGAGGCCTCGCTGCGAGACAACCATATCCCGGCTCCATAGAGCAGTCTGAAGTGCTTTCCACATGCACGTAGCGTCCATCGGAATATTTTGAACAACTCCAGGTGCTCAGCTGCCTGAGCAGTATATGTCAGCTAGGTCGGTCGAGAGATATGGTTTTAAATTGCATAGCTATAGAAAACAACAATGCATCAAGCTGCTAGGGTAGACTCGTCTGTTTCATTGCAGAGCTCCTCCAACCAAGCGTTCATAATTCCAGTATCATGCCCTTTACCACATCCACGAGGCCACTCCGTTAGCCTTACGTATCGGTCAGGGTTTACTGAGCTTTTGTGTTCAGAGGAACGGGACTTTCTGGACTAAGCTGGGCTTAGACTTTCAGGGCTTGGTGACTTTCAGGGCTTGGTTATGAGACGATGGCTTAGCTACAAAGCGGTTGACCAGCACTGCATAATTGATTTCGGCTCTCGCCCCCTAATGCCAAGGATCTTTTCAATCTTTAAAGTCTTCTTCATGTCGAAGCCACCAATGGAAGTTTGCTTGCCTTCTCTGAAGCAGAAAGCTTTGAACATCTCGTACCCCTCATCCAGCGCAACTTGTATCGAACGGCCCTTGATGATCTTCAATCTGTAGGCAAGGATCAGACCACTCGCACATAGGCTTTTGCCCCAGCCCTCAATCGCATAAGTGTGTGCCGGGTCGGGCTTGGCGAAACTGGGGTCATCGCCCAGCAGTGCACGGAAAGGGGACGGTTCTTCATTGTCCTTGTAGGGGCTGGGAAGACCATGCCGCTGAAGATTCACAAAGGTTTCTTCGGAGAAATCATACCATTCCTGTAGAGCCCAAACAATTAAAACCACCCCATATGCTCCTGTAGTTGTTCAGATATAATATAAATAACCACCGAGCAAAACTGATGAATTCAATCTGTGGTTGCCCTGGAGTTGCACAAGTGGCAAACACGCTTCGATGTATACCCTGTCTGTAATCCGGCAGCCTTTCTTAAGAAGGGCCAGTCGCCCTTTAGGGAAACCAGAATGAGCCGGAACCGGCGCTTTGTGGCTCCAACTGGCACCTGCCGCCTAAACGCTAAAAACCCTAAACCCTAAAAACCCTTTTGCCGTAAAAACCCTAAACCCTAAAAACCCTAAGCCCTAAAAACCCTAAACCCGAAGGATTCTCCAAGTGTCCAATGTATATGATTATACCAAGATCGAGTAGGAAGCTCTGGCCTCTATCCCCCGTTGACACAAGCTGGCCAGGTCATCCACCATTGCACCAAGCAGCTGCTGCAGTGTCAGGTCCCCCCAGTACAATTCGGAAGGGATGACCGTAAAGAGCATTCTTGTCGTCAGGGAATGCCTGGGGTGAACCGGGGCCACGGGGCTGTATGTGTAAACTAAACTAAACCCTAAACCCTAAACCCTAAACGAATTGCTAATTGACTAGTTCCAAGATACCCACTCGAGTTGACATATGAGTCACCCTTCCAGCCTATGAGCGGTTGTATGGCGGCTATCATAATAGGCCTTTTCAACTTGCCTCTGCCCTCGTCTCCATGTGCCAGGACTGGCACAGACAGGCTAGCCGTTTCCTCATTATAATCTTTGCTTGCAAAGAAATGAAAGGACGGGTGCAAAGCTCTGTACCTCTGCCAGAATTGTGATAGCATGGCCCGATACTTAGATTCTTCATGAATCGAATGTCCACCCAGAAATGCCTGGCCTCCTGTTTGAAGAGAGTATTGGAACCAGGATGAAGGTAGAAGTGTAGGGTACTCTATATCCTGTCTCCGTGGCCTCCCCTTGTTGATCATCCTCACTGGCACAGTAAAATGGGTCATAGGAACTGGAAGCAGTTTTCCTTCTTTGGACATCAGCTTGTGAAGGTTTCGGGATGCATTTGCTGAACCCCGACCACCACTCCCACAGGCAGCCAGCTTTTTCAAGGTTGGGTCCAAGGCTCCTTACTTGATTATTCTGTTTAGGGTTTAGGATTTAGGGGCTTTGGGGTTTAGGGTTTAGGTTTTAGAAATGATCACCCCAAACATCCTAGACCATTGGACATCTTTTATAAGACTGCAACAAGTGGCCATGCTTCTTGAGCTTCCTCACAGCCACTTGAGCAAGTCGCACCACACGACCAGCAGACTCAGCCTTATCTATAACAACAAAGTTCTTGTCAGCGACTCCTTACGACCAAAGTAGGCCGGGTTTAGGGTTTAGGGTTTAGGGTTATATAATTGTTCCGGGAACTGACGACAAGGGACACCTGCTTCGAAGCCTACAAACAGCTCATCCGCCAGGTCGTCATCATCATCTTCGCTGTGCTCCGGATCCTCGGGCGAGCCACCTGATCGCGGAGTGGGTTGTAGGGTTCATGTCCAGGGCTTACAGGGCTGTCAGGTATATGGACATCCCGTATAAACTCGGACCATAAGAGAACATTTACCCCAGCCCCTACAACCCACAACCCGCCAGATCTACCCTAGCGGCACAACTACCACTCGAATATCGAAGCCCCCTATATTTTTACATACATATAAGGAAACCACAAAGCCATATGCATAGTATATGTATACATATATGGGTAAAAACCAAACCTAGGAACTTTGGCCAAGGCTGTGTTGTCGGGTTGTGGCTAGGTGTTTGTTAAGCTTCTTGGGGTGCTTTAGCTGGGGATTAAGCTTTCGGCTTTAAACCTAAGCTCATTTATGGCTTGGGACCTGAAGCTAGTGAGATTCTCGAGGCAAATTATTCAATAAAATTTGGGTTCCGGCCCAGTGCCTTAGTTCCTGTTGCCCGCTACATATGTAAGCCCCAGCAACCAGATAGGAAGTCATTGGATGTCGGTGTAGCACAGATGTTTGTGTATTTAGTGTTTAGGGTTTAGGGTTTTGGGTTTTGGGTTTAGGGTTTAGGGGTGCATTCCTGATGGGTTTAAGAAAAAGTTTGGGGGCTGAGGTTTATTATATGGTATATATAGGTAGAGGCTGAATGTTATAAGACCGAGCTTGCTCTACTTTATAGCCAACATGCAGCACTATGTTATGCAACATATAATATAAAGGCTGTGGGCCTCGACCGTCATTTGGAGCTGCTGCAGCCTGTAGCCAACCTGCCCGGAAGGAACATACAGAATTGCAGTAAGTATGAGCACTGCTTTGAAGGACAGTTGAAGCACTCTGCACTCAGCCCGTATTTCATCGCACGTGTTTGCGCTGTCATCCCCGTTCGAGAATACCCGGGTGGCACTCACAGCAGAGTGCTAGCTAGATCGAGCACAGCAACACCTGCATGACCAGGCTTGAGCTACATACCCAAGATGGCCCTTTAGTTACATATATTGTCCCAGTAAGAAGGATCTATCGAGGCCGCAAATGCTGCAAGGCTCATACCAGGATGCTTTGCATCGCAGCAAAATCACGACTTGCCAGCCTTTTTGCGACTGGCTTTGGCCTTGGGGCTGCCCTTGGGCTTTTTATCACCCTTGTCACCCTTGTCTTTCTTGCTCTTACCCTTCTTGCCACTTTTGTCCTTGCTATCCTTCTTGTCGCTCACAACAGAGCCGGTGCCCGACTTCACCGACCTTATAGGCTTCATGCAAGGTGATGGGAGTACCATGGCTGTAGTGTGTAGCAAAAGCCGGATATAGTTATTGCAGCCGGGTATCTTGGCACGAACCACAAAATTGTTCATGATCAAGTCCTGCTTCGTGGTGTCGGCAAACAGCTTGAGCAAGCCATCAACGAAAGTCCTCGGGGTTTGTAGGGTAGGCAGCTACATGCTATATACATTTACATGCACTACAGGAACTGTTTGCCAACACATCATTAAGGGAATGGCTGATCGGTTGGCTTGGTCAGGGCATCGGACTGCTTAGTCTGCATATCCCGGAACAAAGTTTTCATGGATGCCAGGACATCCTGAATCTGCTTGCGCAACCTCGGAAACCACAGTGGTACTGAACACTGAACGAAATAGGATTCGGTTGCATGGGTACTATATCAGTTCAGCAACGCCATGGCCCGAGCACCACCAATCTTGTCGAGCCGCTCCTTGTTTATGCACGAACAGAATCTGCACGCAAAAAATATACAAAGCCCACTAGAAGTAGAAGGCTAGGCGCAAGCACATCCTCGCAGTTGTCGATCTTTCTCCCCAGGACTTCGAGGAACTGGGGGAGCACCGTCAACGGGGAGCTCGTTTGCTGGAGGCTCGGGAATGTCAGCCTTAGATAGGCCCCCATTTTGGATCTACATACGAAGCTGCAACTGCCAAACAACATACATGCATCAGCTCTAGAAACTTGAACGATGCCGAAGCCGAGAACGACTCGATTCTCGCAGCCTCTGCCTGTGCTCCCGAGGACGAACCAGGGGTACCATCAACGATGGAGGCCGGGGCATCTTCGATCGACGGGATATCGGACTCCAACAGAAAGCCGGAGTCGTCCTATGCAGGGTCGAGGTTAAGGGCTCATATGGGGTTTGGTGGTTTCGGTGGGGTTGGAACGGAGTGGGAAGTACTTTGCCATTGTATCTTCAAGTAGTATATATAGTAGTAGTCGTAGGAGTAGTAGTAGTGGTAGTAGTAGCAGAAGTAGCTACTATAATAGTAATATATTAGTACTAGTAGCTACTAGTAGTAGTAGTAGTAGTAGTAGTAGTAGTAGTAGTAGTAGTACTGGTAGCAGTAGTAGTAGTAGTAGTAGTAGTAGTAGTAGTAGTAGTAGTAATAGTAGTAGTAGTAGTAGTAGTAGTAGTA